CCCCTCTATCCCTCTCTCCCTCTCTGTCCCTCCCACCTCCCTCCCTTAAGGCTCCCATCACTACCCTTCAAGAAGTTTCGGTATTTATCACATTGATGCAAAATGTGAGAACTGATGTGTAGACTAAAGTACATAAAACTTTTCATAGAAATTCAGGGATTTTTTTAAAATTCTGTGAAAGCTTTAAACAGATGGTATTTAGTACTATATATATATGTAATTTGATATATATATATACATATATATTCATATATATATGAAGGAAATACAGATTTCAGACTGGAATTCGTGAGACCATTTTGACAAATTTTAATTTTCCATTGAATTGTTATTTCGATGCAACCACATGAGAAAGTGTATCCTGCCTCAACAATTACCAAGGTCCTTATCTGTTACCAGGATACTTTTTGCTCCAGTTGTTTCTTATGTGTCACATACTTACTCACAACAGTAAGCCACAGAAAATTAGATTTCTTTTTTCTCTTTAACTTTCCTAAGCGTACATTTTTAAATTTGCTTATCCGGAGGACCTACGTCTCAGTGCCCATGCTAGGCACGATGTTTTCGAAAGCAGAGGAAGAGCTACGGAGACGCTATGCTTGTCTGACCCCGCCCCACTCTCGCAGGCACTGAAGGTGGACCCATCAGGAGAAACCCAGCCGGGAATGTGGGCAGGCCCATGGTCCAGCGGCTTCCCGCCCCGCAGGACGTTGCCCAGTGCTTGGAAGTGGGCGTGTTTGACACACCTCCTTTCTACTCCAATTCTACAGACAGTTTCCGAAACACAGTAGAAGGCAAGTAAATGAGATGGGTCCCTTGGAATGCTGTTTATGAAAGTAAATGAAGAAGCCAATATCACAGCTTTAAAAAAAATTAAATACCATGTTGATCCTGTGAGTTGTATGGATCAAGCTGCCTGCTATGAACTGGTCGTGAATGCTGCTATTATAAGGGAAGGTGTTGGAAACTAAACTATGACCTACTCTTTTTTTTTTTTTTTTTTTCTTCTTCATTTATGTATTTGGTTCAGGATTTCACTACGCAGCTCAGACTCGTAGTGATCCTCCTGTTTTCAGCATCCCCAGCACTGGGATTACAGGATAACACCACCACGCCTGGACTCCGTCGCCGGCTCAATGCGCAAGGGAGTGGGGCTGCCACCCTGGTCCCTGCACTTTCCAAAGCAGGTGCTTAGTCCACTGAGCTATCTTGCTGGCCCCTATTCCCTACTCTTGTGCACTTAAAAACTACTTAAATTCAAATTTCCAGCAGCTAGCTGGCCAGTATATAAAACTATATCAAAGTTTAACATTGGCAAATGATATTCAAGATGGTTACAAAATAATTTACTTTTTAAAAAAGCATTACAATAAAAAATTCCAAATAAGCAGATGACATTCTGTAAAGCCTGGCTGGAGTACATGTTACATTAAGGTTGTATCATTCTGTAATTCTTTCTACAGTTTTTGGAAATTCAAATTAGCATCTAATTATTTACAATTTGGGTTGTTTATATTTAATGGCATTTTGATACTATTTTAAAGTGGAGCAAATATGAAATCCATGCAGGTGAAAGTATTCCCAAGAGACCCTTCAGGTCTTTAGTAGCAGTACAGATTCAAATCCAAACTTTCTCTCTTTAAATATAAATATGGGGGCTGGAGAGACAGCTGGCAAGCACAAGCTCCTAAGTTCAATCCTTGGTACAAAAGCAAAAAACCAAAACTATTTCTTAGAACTTAAAATCATAGGGCAGGGGTGATGGCTCAGTGGAATAAGCACTTCTCTGGCAAGCGCAAGGGTCTAAGTTCAATCCCTGATTCCACCAAAAAATTTAAAAAAAAACCTTTAAATCATGATTGATACATATATAAACTTTTCAAAGGAATACAATTATGCATAACTATAATCATATTATTATTAAATTCTAGCTTAAATATACCCTTGCACGTGTTAGATATGCCCCGACCACTCCCTTGTAATAGATTCTTCAGTCCTGCTTAAAGATACTTATTGGGATATGATTCAGTAAATAATTATTATATTTTGCCTAAACCATATTTCTAAAGTAAGGAAGTGAGAACTACCTTTTAAAACATCTGCAGATTGTGTTATGCTAATGCACAATTCCAAAACAATTGATGCTGACTTCCAGGCAGGATGTATAAAAAGAACAGTGCTTAGCTGTATGCCATGTGTAGTGCAGGCAATCTTTAAGTGTTTCTAGAATCAAAAAATAAGGGAATAAATATATGAAAATGAATGGATGGGTGGGTGGATGGATGGACGGTTGGGTGGATGGATGCACAGATAGACTGATGCTGTTACACAATGTTGCTTCAAGCCAACTGCACACACTTAACAGCTCCATTCTGCATTCCAGGCTCTGTTGGTATTTGTGGTCTGCTCAGTATCTATTCTGAGCTTCTCACTAATATAGTGGTACCAAGGTCACAAAGCCTTTTCTTTGTGAACAATTTCGTTCACAAACAGAAACATTTGGCAAAATTTTGAGGTTGTTTGCAAACTCACCACCGGGTAATGAATGTGAATGTGACCACCATTTCCAGAATCATGGAACAAACTAAGTTCATGAACAGAGAAGGTACCACTGTATAAAGAAGTATTTATCAAAAGTTCTACAAATGTCAGGACAGTAGGTTTTTCAGAAGTTTTAAACAGATACAGAGACGTAAAAAATTTTAATTTCCCCACAAAATAATTCTCCAAAAATAAACATGCTGACAGTCATCCAAAAGGAATAGAATAAGGATGAAAAGGAACATCTGGATAGGTAAGTTGCAGGACAATCAGAATGGTGTACTCCCAATTGTGTCAGCAGTTTTAGTGAAAACTAGAGTGTTCCACTTAGTTTCCAGGTAGAACAACTGTCAAAATACAATGTTCTATATATTTTGACTGGTATCCTTTGCAGGTCATTATTTTTAACCTGCTGACTACATTTAGAATGTCACATGACTAGCTTAACAGTATTCTAGTTTCTGAGTACAGCAAGGGAATGTCATCAACCATTGGTACAAAGGAGCAATGCTGTTCTATTAATGCAAAATTTAGCTTGACAAGCTTCGGAAAAATTGGTCCCCAGTATAATTCCTGCTGTTGACTTGAAAAATAATGAGATACATGCACTGTTTTCTATTCCTCTCATCCTGGCTTAAATCTAGGTTACAGTGATCCCACAGGAAAGTATGACCCTGCTGTTCGGAGTCTTCACAACTTGGCCCATCTGTTCCTGAATGGAACTGGAGGGCAAACCCATTTGTCTCCAAATGATCCTATTTTCATCCTCCTGCATACTTTCACTGATGCAGTCTTTGATGAATGGCTGAAGAGATACAATGCTGGTAAGACCCTTCCATGCGTTTGTACAGAGTGCTTTGCTTCAGTGGCATAGCTAGCAGGTCATGCCGGCTCTTGACCCAATGGAAAGAGAGAACTTGAGGACTAAACAACGTAAAGAGAGAAAGGAAAGAAGTTAGGAGATATGGTAGGGGCAAAACCATACATTAATATCAGCAAAATGGTTAGGGCAATGGTCCTAACAATTTCCATCAGTTTTTTGAAAATATAGTTAATGGATAGAATCCTCACCCTGAGTAACTCTATACCCTGATATCTCTGAACTAAGCAACTACATTGAATTCAAAATAAAGATAAAACATCTTCACTCTCTAGCCATTTACAAATATTTAAAACCACTTTGAAATTGTAGAAGCCTCTGAATTTTATGTAATAGTCATGTTAAGATGCCATTGATTTTTATCACTTCACAGAGCGAAGCAGGTATTTTTTTCTCATTTTTCCCACCAAAAAAGATCACCCTGTTTCCCCAAATTTCCTTCCTCATATCTTCCACCAAACAATCTCATAGCCTTTTAAAATGAATGAGGAAACCTTACATAGCTTTTCTCTGATGTCCCAGGAGATCAAAATTTTATATCCACACTCTACAGTTCTGGAATTTATTGCTTAATAGCCTCATATAATAGAAATTTTGTTCAACTTGAAAAGTTAATGTTGATTTTTGTGTCACACCATATGAAATCTCTTCTAAGCTAATTTCAATATGATATTTAAAATGCTATTTAAAGGGTCTCTCTACACTTCTACTCAGTTGAAAGACTTCCATTATTCTAAAACCATTAAAATGCTTCCTCTGGTTAAACATAACTTTCCGTATATTTAAAATGTTATAAAATTTTACTTGTCTTTACTTCATTATGAACATAAACATAGTATTAGAGGTAAGTTGTCTATTGGTGCATCCATCCAGTACAGCCCATTTCCTCTGTGTGTGTGTGTGTGTGTGTGTGCGCGCGCGCGCGCATGCACGCGTGTGTGTGTTGAAGTCCTCTAGTCCAACATGTTCTAGACATTTAATGGATAAATAAATTCAAATAGTTTATTCCATAAGAAAATGATTTAGGATAAAAGTAACGTGCACATAAATATTGTCATAATTTTAGACTTCACTGATTATAGTTCCGCTTTCCTTTTTGTGTGTATTTATATGCATAACTACAACCACAGTGAGTTATCTATCATTTGCAGGGTCAAGGTCCTTTTGTTCTTCAAGTGAACCAAGAAGTTAAGACTTTGGTGATTCAGTCTGGGTGTTGCAGCCTAGATTGTCCTGTCTCTCTATTACACGCTAATCCATAGCTATATTTCATGTATTCATTTTTAACAAAGCTTCCCAAAGTGTTCAACATCTTTTTAAATAGATTGCTTTCATTATCGGATCAACTAGAGTTAATAGGTTTAGGAATTATTCAAACCGTGTAACTTTTGTGACACATATAACCAATGGATGCTCAATAGCAACATGCAAGTTATGTTATCCAGTCATTGACAATGTCTTGGCTGTTAGAAAATGGAGAATCTTAGTATGACAAGTCACTTAAGTGAGTGTTATTTCAATTATGAAACATGTATTCTATTACCTTTCATATATAGATTAAAAATAATTATTTTATTTTCATAGTAATGTGCTATAGATTTTAATTTAAGCAGTATTGCTGAGGGCCAGCCAAACAGCTCAATGGATTAAAGTGCCTACAAGCAGGCACAGGGGCCAAGGTTTCGATTCCCAGGCCTGCCATGCAGGTCCTGCCCCTGGGGTACACTGAGATGTTGATTGAGACTGGGTATGGTGGCACACACCTGTAATCCAAGCTCTTGGGAGACTGCCAAACAGGTGGATCACTAGTAGTCTGATCTAGTAGTGAGACTCTGAACACCCTATAAGCCCTTCCCTAAAAATGAATGACTAAATAAATAAACAATATTATTGAATTAGAAAAATATCTTTGATTTTTATTTACCTCCTATTCCCTTCATTCAAACCATAGGAAGCTTAAGGTTTGTCAGTCCCCTTTGAGTAGTGAGGAGAGAAATACCATAAATGCAAAGTAGAAAATTAGTCTATGTAATTTTTCAGATTAGATTTGAAAATAAAGATACAGGACAAGCCAATACAAGTACTTATAAATTAAATGAACACTAAGCCCAATAATTATTTTCTTAAATGTATCATATGCCTGCAAATATCCCTTGGAAAACAATTTAATCCAACAACTGTTTAAGGAAAAAAGACAAATTGAAATATGAAATGAATATTTTTCAAGATCAATCTAAAAGTAGTGAATATGATTATTTTGCATTAAAATGTATACATATTAAAGGTGTTTCAAAAATCATAAAATTATTACAATATATTATCCACATTGAAATCTACCCAAAATATATGAAACTAGAGGGAGGGGCAGGATGAGGGAAATAGTTAAAGTTCATTCTGAGGCACACAAATCTCCCCAAACTTCATTAATCTGTGCAACAATGTGCATTAATTCAAAGAATCATATAATTATGGAATTAATTCTTAGGACCACACAGGAACACAAATCTCATGGTATAGTCAAAGGACACGGCATTGGTCTGTGCAACAGTGTGCTTTAGGTCCTCACATTAGACGTGCTGTAGCACAGTGCAAAGCATCAGGAACGCCAGCTACAACCACCCTAAATTCTAGCCATTACCATTGTGGATCTGAGCGGCATATGATTGAACTCCCTCTTTTTGGAAACTTATCTTTTCATCTTCTGAAACAGGGTTTCACTATGCCATTTAGGCTGGCCTTGAGCTTACTTTTAGCCGGTAAGCTCACAATTCTGCCTTCCCTCCCAAGCGCTGTGATTGCAGGCGTGCCACTCTTTAAAACAAAGAACTGAGTTAAATCGTAAACATAAAATCATTTTCAGAAGAAGCTGTTTGCACATTTATTAGAATGATTATTATCATATCTGCTGACTCATAAGAGAAATGAAGTAATCACACACACTCATAAATTCTTTCACAAATATTTTTTGAACGTCTATTAATTCTAGACCATATATTAATTAGCAAAAGTAGCGTACAAACCTCCAGAAAAAAGTTTTCCTCCTGGAAGTTCCCTGCCTATTGGTAGAAATCAAAATAAACAAAGGTAAATAACTATGCATTATAGTAGATGGTAAAAAGCCTGTAGACAAAATGAGAAGATAAACAAAGCAGGTGCTCAAGGTCACGAGGTTTCATCTTAAGAGAGACAGGCAGCTTTTGAAGTCTTGTGTAGGGAAATCACATGAACATACAATTGCTATTATTTTTTTTCACTTCAATTCCTCCATTTAGTTCCATGAATTTAACTTTATCAATTCAGCTGGAGCTGAATTGAAGTGAGCCTGGTCAAGGCAGAAAGATGAATGAAAATGGAAAGTGTAAAACTCTAAGTTATCAACCTTGATGAGTAATTTCTGCAAATAACAGCTGTAAGAGACTGGAATGAGAGCTGTCTAAGGACAGGAATTTTGCCTGCTTCCTTCAGCATGATGGCCTGTGTCTAAACAAGTGCTGGGCAATGATGCAAATCAAGAAGTGTTGATAAATAAATATTGAATTAGTTTTATTTATAGTAGATTTAAAATTCCAAATATGCAAACACTACCTGCCACTTCTTTCGTCAAGTAATCTTCCAACTAGATGCTAAACTACCTTTCTGGAGTTCATAGGATCAGGACAGTGCAGGTAATAGGCCTGGAGCAAAGAGGAAAGCTGTGCTCGGCTGGCCTTCTCACTCCTGACGTGCACAAGCCGACCTTCTGTGTTGGTTTTGTGGCATTCTGCTTAATTGTACATTCAATTGTGCAGAACAAACAAACAAGAAGAGTAACTCTTTGCCATGAAGAACCTACAGTTCCTTTTATCCCTGATGACAGAAACATACCAATAAGATAGATGCCTCTTAATTAAATGGCTTAATATTCACATATAAGAGCAGAGATGGCAAGAAATTTATTGGATTTAGGGACTTTATTCTTGCAAATTCTGAAATTTTTTTGCTAACAGTAATAATGTGAGAAAAAATTAATAATTTTTCTAAAAGGAAACACAAAGAGGTGAAAAAAATTTATATCATTTTATTTATTTATGTATTTGGTACAGGGTATCACTGTGCAGCTCAGACTCGTAGTGATCCTCCTGTTTCCAGTCTCCCCAGCACTGGGATTACAGGTGTGCGCCACCCACACAGGGCCTCTGCAGCTGGCTCAGGGCGCCCAGGAGACCGGCTAGTGAGGTCTGTGGTGCTGGAGATTGAACTCAGGTCCTTGCTCTTACCTAAGCAGGCGCTTAGTCCCCTGAGCTATCTCGCTGGTCTTAGAGATGAAAAATATTAATCAGAAATGCTGAGAATCAAGGACAGCTTACAAGAGATGTGTCATCTCTATAGCTTAAATTACAGATTGTGCTACACTGTATCAAAGATTCCTTTCCTTTGGCTTTTGCAAAAAAAGTTTAATAAATTATATTTAAATCATTTTTCATAATTCAAAATAAAATAATTGATAATCATCATAGATGACAAAACACTAAGCTTCCTCTTTTTAAATATTTTTTATTAAGTGCACATTGATGCCACATTCAAAATATTTGCACTATTTTGTGAAAGTCCTTGTTCTGCTGGTGTGAAACTTTCCTTGAGTCTTTGTTCAGTGGGAAATAGAACATTTTTTCAGGTTCCCTTCAAATATGGGATACTTTCAGGACATAACGATACAATATTACCTCTGCGTCTTTTTTTTGGGGGGGGCTGGCTCAGCCTACCCTTGGGGCCAGGCTGGCGAGGCATGTGGTGCTGGGGATCGAACTTCGGTCTCTGCACTTTGCCTAAGCTTACCTAAGCAGGCACTGTAGACCGCTGAGCTATCTCATTGGCCCGTACCTCTGTGTCTTCTAACACATTATCTTTGGAATATTTCAGATATATCCACATTCCCATTGGAAAATGCTCCTATTGGTCATAATAGACAATTTAACATGGTGCCATTCTGGCCTCCGGTTGCCAACACAGAAATGTTTGCTGTCGCTGCAGACACCCTCGGATACACCTATGAGGTGCAGTGGCCAAGTAAGTACTGAAACTGTATTTTACTGTGATGTGTTCCAAAAACAAGTTTGTTGTCTTTAAAGTCCAGTCGTCCTTGTGTCCTGAGGTTTACATTTCTGTTTGGATTTTGAAAATTTTCATTTGGACCTTTATTTGGGAACAAAGAGGGGATTTAACACTTGTTGAAAGCGTGTTCTGACCAGATACTGAGCAGATTATGTGCTAGTGTGTATCCACAAGCCTTGTACCTCCTCTGAAGTATGATTTCTCACTTCACAAATAAGAAAACCAAGCCTTAGAGAGGTCTGTTGTCCATGACTACAGTCCCTCCAAGGAAAGGAAATGAATGTTTGCCTCTGTCTATATAAATGAAGAAGGATTTGAATATTCTAAGCTACTTTTGCTGAGATTTTGAAATTCAAAATGTTCTTATTCAATTTGAAGTCTCTTTCTCAGCAAGGGCAGTAGAGCTTAGTGGAAAAGCAACAGGATTTAAATTTTGAACAATCTGGCCTCCAAAATCAACCATTTCTCACTAATCAAATGATGCTGCACTAGAAACTCAAACTGAGTCACCCACCTGTTTTTCGCTGGTAGAATGGAAATAAGAGTAACTGTCCCCAGGAGGAAAAAAAAAATTAGAAAGCAGCTTCAAGAAGACAGGTTTTATGTTAGAAAACATGGCCAATAAAAATTAAGTATGAGAATTTCTGTTAAAGTGTGCAAAAGAATGCCCACATTTGTGATGTCTAATTTTTTGTGATAACTATTTTAACGTTTATTTTATTTCCTGTTATTTTCTCTCTTAACTAGGCCGTAATTTTAGCATCTCTGAGATTATTACCATAGCAGTAGTTGCTGCCTTGTTACTGGTTGGAATCATTTTTGTGGGTGTCTCTTGTCTGATTCGCACCAAAAGAAACATGGATGAAGCCAGTCAACCTCTCCTTATTGACCAGTATCAACATTATGCTGAAGAATAAAAAAAAAAAAAAAAAATTAAGAGTCCTAATCAGTGTATGATCTAATGATAAGCTACTTTCACACATTAGAGTCAGGAAATAACCTGGCTGAAAATTAGCAGGCCAAGTGACTAAGTAGATTTTTCTTTCACTTTGTAACTCTCTTGCACAAGCATGTGTTATAATTAAAGCATTATTTTTCAAAACTGATAAAAGTAATTCATAATCTTTGCAATGGTGTCTAATTATTAGCTCTATATAAAATGTTTGGTTGTACCAACCCCGTGACACCTTAAAGCTAGCATGATGATCTTTGTTGTATTCTGAAGCTTGACTATGAAATGCAAATCACCTGATCTATTTTATTCATCTATAGAGGAAAATAAAGTTTGATGGTATTCATTTTAAAATAGAACACCAAGCACATCAACACTGTTAAAATGTAAAAGCATTTTCATTATTGATATAGATCAACAGATAAAGAAACAGCAGCATTTATTAGTTAAAATAAATTACATGGAGTTTTAATGATTTTTTTTTTCAAATTTGTCATTTTATTCGTATTTCAACACATTATTTGGTCTCAGGTTCTGCACCGCTATACAGTCACCATCTTTGCCACACTTTGAGTAAATGAGGGCTTCATTTTGTTGGGAAACAGCTGTCACTGTCTGTTTGCCACGGGGTTTCCCTCAGTCCCTTTGTTGAAGGAGGAGCTTCATACTTTCCATCTCCTTCCTCATGCATCTCTCTGCCTAATTCCCCTTCCACATCTCAGGGTCCTGACAGGAAGCACAAGGTCCCTGATATGCTCAACATAGTGTTCTATTCATTGGGTTTATTTGAATAGCATTCTGTCATCATTCACCCAAATCTCAAGCATTTGCAAAACAAAATATTAAAATATTGTTTTGTTTGTCCCGGTCCTGGTCCAGTTCTGCAAGAATGTGGTTTTTCCTATGATATAACATGAAGTACTTTTTCTGTTTTTGATCTTGTATATGAAGCAATATCTCCCAAATAAATTATATATGTTGCACATAAATGAACAGACATTATAATTAAAATAAATTATAGTGGTGAGAAAAAATAGCTATAGCAGTCACACCCTATATAAAACGGCTAATTTGATGTCTGAACTCAATGTCCAGAAAGCAGATTAAAATTATACATTCCTGATTAATTATTGTTTTTCTTAAAGCTATGTGCACAAGATAAGAAAAATATTAAAGAGTGTGATATAGGAGTATTTTAAATTCTCTTTTTTAAATGTACTTAGTAGAGGTCTACAAGGCCTCACTACACAGATTGGGCTCATAGTGATCCTCCTGTTTTCAGCCTCTCAAGCCCTGGGATTACAGGTGCACACCACCACACCCAGTCTAAATCACAGACTCAGCGCACCCCAGGGGCAGGGCTGGCAGGGCTGGCAGGGCACTACATTTTCATAAGAATTAGTCAATTGGTTCCATTAAAATATATTTTAATATATTAAAGTAAATACTCATAGCTTCTTAAGAAATTATCAAGTAGCAGTTTTTATATAAAACATCAATGAGACTAAATACCCCACCTTATATTTTTGGGCATTTTCTAATTACTCACTTCAGACACATTTATTAGCCATACACTAAATTTCAGTGACAGTGCAAGGCACTGTGGATTTTTGAAAGAGAAAGTCAGGACTGTAAAATTGAGAAGGTCATATTTGACTTCGGCTTCAAGGAATGCCAATGGATTTACCAAATATAAAAGTAGAGAAGGGCATTCTATTCAGAAGTGACAGCATGAGCGAGTCACAGAAGTTTTAAAGAGCACGGAACATTCAAAAATATAAAGTAGGTCACTGTGGTTAGAACATAGATTTCCTGGAAGAGAGTAGAAGATTAAATTGGGAATAAAACCAGAATGTCCTATGTGCAATCCTAAAACATTTGGAACTCATTCTATAGAAAAAAGAAACAGAGTAAACATATATTTTAAGAGATAACAGTGGCAATGACATTTATACATAAAATTGATGAGGAAAGTATCTTGGTAACTTTTCTCATTGCTGAGACAAAATACCCAAAGACCAAATTCAAGAAGGAAAGGTTTGCTCAGATCACGGATCAGTTCATGGAGGTTTCAGTCCATAATCAGCTGGCTCCAAGGCTGGGTGTCGTGGTGAGGGGCAACAGCTCAAGGTGGAAAAAGACAGCAAAAGAAGCAAGAATCAAAGTGGGGAACAAGCTCGTTTCCTGCTTTATATGCAAAGCAGGCTGCCTGCCCTAGAGCCACGTAGCGCTCACACCATCTCTGGGCCCTTCTCAGCCGGCAGGATGAGGATGTTTACAAAGTGAGGCCCTGGGCCCCTGCTGAGTCACTTAGTTTAACCTCTAAACTTCTCAAGTTGACACAATGTATCATCTACTTCAGAGAGTAAAGGACAGGTAATTATATCACTTTAAAGAAGAAGGTGATGTTCCAATTTTTCAGAGTTTCCCTTTAAACTTGGCTTTATTGCATAAGCTTCATAAATTAATATGGAATAGTTTATGGAGATAGAAAGCCTGTCCCAATATGAAAATTAATCTAAATAATTTTAAGAAAGCCGTCCACGTTATCTTGTAAATACAGCTGTGCCATTTTGTTTTTCTTACTTTCATCTCATGAACTTTCATTTGTTGTACAAATCTATAAGAGTTCATTATACCTATGTCAAATTAGTCATGACAAATAATACACAGTTGGTTGGGTTTTTCCCTCTTCTCTGCCCTCTCTTCTCTGACAATGAGATTATTATGCACTCAAGGGATGACAAATTCAACACCACTTTTTAAATCCATTCTTTTCTTTTCTTTTGCTTAAATGCTTACTTTTTGTACTTTTTTAATTTTAAAGAGAAAAAATAAAAATTAGAAATGATCCAGAATTTCAAAAATAAGATGACACAAATTCAACAATGGTTTTTAGATTGCATATTATTGTCTTCAGAGTAGTTGTTCAGATTAGCAGATATAAGCATATAAAATTGGTCAAAAAATTAAGTGCTAACTGTTCCTTTTTAAATGCCACACCTATTCTAACTTTTAGACCACACATGCAGTGAGTAAAAATGCCTAACTGGACATTCCCATAAAATCAAGAATAAAAACTATGCTACTGTGGGCCTTATTTATGTCCTGCCTTTGTTCCCAGAGACAGAGGAGTTCAGAGTTAATGCTGAATTACAGTCCCTTCAATTTTAAAAATTGGATACAAGGGAAAAAGAAAGTTGGGGCTAGTAATTTAAATCTCCAAGGTCTGGTTGTAAGATATTTGTTCAGAGTTCAGTTCATGAATATCAAACAACGTTATAAAAGTTTGGCCTTTTCTACATCCTGATTAGGATCTAATTGGACAGAAAGCTAATAATAAATGGGAAAAAAGATCTAAAATATTGGTATCACAAGAACAGAACCTGATTTTTAACAAAGAAATAAAATATAATAGCAAAATTGCAGAACACGCTAGTTCAAAAGGATGGCCATAAAATTAAAACATTACTGCAAGGGAAGAATGGTAGCAAACACACTTTATAAAGTAACGAGATTTAGTGAATTTCAAGTTTAATCAAAGCCAACTGCAGTGCTATTGGGAGGAGAATGGTGTGCAGATGACAGAGGAGGAAAGTGCTTTTATATTAAGCTTTATTAGCACATAAACAAAAATCTATCTCATTAAGAGTATTTATATACATAAAGCTATAGGATAAGGATCACAGTGAAAAACTAGAATTTCTTTTCTTTTTTCTTTTTCTTTTTCTTTTTTTTTAAATTTTTTTTAAATTTTAGTACAGAGTCTCACTATGTAGATTAGACAGTAGTAATCCACCTGTGTTCAGCCTCCCAAGAGCTGGGATTACAGGCATGCACCACCACGCCTAGACTCAATCAACATTGCAGCGTGCCCCAAGGGCAGGCCCCCGCACAACACGCTGGCGATCCAACCCTGCTGCTGCATCTGCCTAAGCAGGCACTTTAATCCCCTGAGCCATTTGGCCAGCCCAAAAAACTGGAATTTCTACCTTCCTATTTTAAGTAATATAACTACCGCCCTAAGAGAGATACTTGGAAGACATCTTTCAATTCTACTGCTTCTCTCAATTCCCAAACCCAACTAATATTGCTGTAATATGGTCATCAACTATTGACTGCTATACCCTAAGCAATGAACTCATCAGCTAAAGAAACTTTGCCCCAGAGGACATGGGACCAGGTTGGGCACATTTTTGGCTATTAGGATGGTTAGTGGTGGCATTACCGTCATCTGGTGCATAGAGGGTGGAGATGTAATTAAATGCCTTGTAATGCACAGGGCCACCCCTGTATTGGAAACTGTCCAAGCCAAAATGTCATTGGTGTTGAAGTCAAGCAGCCCTGTTTCAAGGCTGAAAGTCTAAACAACTCCCACAGTGTTCCAGGTCTCCAGAGGTGAGTGTGCCATTGGAGAGAGCAACAAACACCAGTATCTATTAAGAAGTCAATGTTTTGGCTTCCACCCCATATAAAGTTTAGGGACTAAGGAGCAAAAGGTAGGTACGGCAATATAATAGGACCTTCAAAGATTCACTCTGCTTAAATTTGTCTACCTCCTTCGGTAGGTAGTTTTCTGTTGGTTTATTTATTTATTTATAATGTCAGGACTGAAGACTAGCTGGCATATCATTATACATTATATCCATGCAGAGATTTCCCTTATTTTTTCAGAAGTGGATATGGTCCTCAAAAAAAAAAATCTTTTTTTTTTCTGAATTTAAGGGAAGGGTCCACAGGGTGTTCAGGGTCTTACTACTAGATTGGACTCATAGTGATTCTCCTGTTTACAGCCTCCCAAGTGCTGAGATTACAGGCATGCACCACCACACCCAGTCTCAATTGCCATTTCAGTGCACCTGGGTGGCGGGGCCGGCACTGCAGGCCGAGGGATCAAACCCTCGGCCCCTGCACTTGCTTGCAGGTGCTTTAATCCCTGAGCTATTTGGCCAGTCCCTCAAAATT